TTAGAGTTACCGCATCACATCCCTCCTTATGATTAAGTTTGGTATTGCCTAGTAAAGTTCCTTGTGCTCTTGACGATAGAGTTTGTGCCAATGAGCTTAGTTAGCCTTCAAGATTTTGAAGTGAAGCTTGTTGATTCCTTTTACCCACTTCCAAACATGAGAGTATGGTTGTAGTATTCTCTATGAACTTGTCAATAGCCTCAAACTTATTGTTGGAGTGTGTAACGAATTCACCTACCAAGTCTTCAAGTTTAGAGGCTCGACCATCGGGTGTTCATGATACACCCCTTGGTATGTGAATTAACTCTGCCTTGGATAAGTATTTTGCATAGGAGCTTGAGATTGAAACTCCAGAGGCTTTCTATCTGTCGGAGAAGACCACAAAAGTTGGGATGGTTCCTCCAACCCGGATTATATGTACAGCTATAAAGATTATTTTGTTGGGATTTCCCCCCAACAAAGTTGGCTTCGTTAAACTGTATCGAGGCCTCAATCACATTTCATGAGTTGCTTCCCATTGCCCATCATTGATAATGCAACTTGATCAATTTTCTTGGAAATTTCTTGTATATGAGCTGCTAATAACAATGGTTCTTCGACCTTCATTAAACTTCCCTTCTTCACACTCTTGCCTCTCCTTTCGCACCCCCAATCGTAGCTATTTAGGGAAGTTCTTCAATCAATCTTTGAAGTTCACTGACTTCCTTGTTCCTAATGGCACCTCAACTAGCCACATCGATGAGGTGGTGTGACTCCCTTGTTAAACCATTATAAAGGCTTTCCACTTGTAACCAATCGGCGATGTTATGGTGTGGAAATTTGAGTAGGAGAGATGTAACCATTTCTAATGCTTCAAACAATGGCTCATCCTCCTCTTGTTGGAACATAGTAATCTCGCTTCTCATTAAGTCGTCTTAGAGGGTGGAATATACCTTGTGAAGAACTTGTTGCATAGATCATTAAGTCGCGTTAGGTGATGGAATGATGGGGATGGTTATTCAACCATTGCATTACCGCTCCATTCAAAGTAAACAAAAATAAACTTAGACGAATTGCCTCTTCAGTAACCCCGTTTACCTTAATTACATCTATCAACTCGCAGAATGACTGTATATGCGTGTGAGCATCTTCACTCATCATACCATTCAATTGAACCGCTGTTTGAAGCATCCATATTGTGTCCGGCATAATCTCATAGTTGTTGTTCGGCACCGGTTGGTGAAGAATAGGTGATTGAACATTGTCCATACTTGGCCTTGAGTAACATCCTATTGCTCTAAGCCTTTGTGGAACATGAGCTTGATGTTGATGATCCGCCATTGGTGGAGATTGATGTCTTGCAACTCTTCTAAATTTCCAAAGGTTTCTCTCGATTTTTGTATCAAGAGGTAATGTCTCCAAAGAATCCTGTCTTCACATACAAAGGTGCTAAACTCAACAACCTGTGACCGCACAAATTTGGATAACAAAACACAAAATGAAACAAACTACGAAAATAACAAAAACACAAACAAAATCAAAACAAAGAAAATAAAGGCTAAACTAACAACTCGATGGTTTTCTACTAGTTATCGACGGTCCCCGACAATGGCGTAAAAAATCTTGATCGATTCATTTCGTGTAGATAATTGTCAGTGGATAGCACGTATCAATAACTACCCCATTCTAGGGCAAGTTTAACCTGAAATGGCATTGTCATATAGTGGCAATAAAGGTCGTATTCACTAGGGTCTTGGTATACTAGCCTACTTCCCACGTTGTTGTTATCTAGCCGATCATTTTAAGGGTTTGTGTTGGAGGATTCAAGCAAAATAACTAGTAAAGACAGTAAATAAGGTTAAAAGCAGGTACTTTGGGGAACTATCCCTCACCATAGTCTAGGTCTACTATGCAATGTTTAGATAAGTAGGGTTTGTCGAATGTAGTGAGTGAGCTCTTTTCCGTGGGCTTTCGTGGCTATCCGCATGCCTCCAAGTAAGCCTCCCCTAAATCGATGTCACTCACCTCGATCTAGGCTATCGTATATAGAGCATTAAGAACATAGCTCATTTCAGTGGGTACTACCAACCGTCCACACTGAGGTATTATCCTGGGTTCTATCTAGGAAATCATTCCTATTGTAGGGGTACGGTTGCCTCGTCCACCATAAGATATTATTCATACATCTGACCTTAATTTGCTTGATGGCGCATACCCATCTAACCCTAAAACGCCATACCCAGCGTAGAAGCTCAAGTAGGCTAGAAGAGAAGATTAGGGCGACTTACCCAAACATAATCAAAGCTAGAGAAACAATGAAATCAACTAGATAAACACATTCATTCATTAAAAACCTAAATTATCCATTCGTTACATAGTAACCCAAAAACTAAGTTTTGGGGTTTAAAACCCTAGTACCTTAGAGAACTACTCCATAAAGGAGGGAAGAAGATACATAGAAGAAATTGGGGAAGATGGCTCCTCTCTTCTAGCTCCTCCTCCTTCTTCTCCTCTTCTTCTTCTTCTTCCTTCAGCTTCTATCTCTCTTCTCTCTCTCTAACCATAATTTCTATCTCAAAATTAGCTCTATCAAATGGAGGAAAGGGGTCTTCTATTTATATCCTTTAGAGGATGGGCAAGTTCACGACTAGGCAAGGTGAAGATTGCGTTCCCGATCTTCTTTATTGAGAACGCGATCTGTTGACGTTGCCGTTTTGACCTCCAAACGTGAGGGGTTCGCTGACTAACTTCGCGGTCGGGATTGGTGAGTTGCGGCCGTGAACTTCCTCATGGTCAATGTGATCTATGGTTGTGGTCACGATCTTGGGCTCTAAGGTTCCGATCTTTGTTGGCTTCTTCACGAAGTTCACGCACAAAGGCTTCAGATTCGCAGTCGCGATCTTGGGCTCTAAAGCCGGGAAATTTGCTTTAGTTTTGCCATCTGTGTTCTCGACCGCGATCTCCATCTCCAGGCCGTGATCATCAGCCTTCTGCCCCTTTTGCAACACTTGTGTCCTTTTTTGTAACTAATTCACATGTGTTTTCTAAGGCTTTGCATTCGAGAGGTAAATAAAAACAATTTAGGTGTTATCAAAGACTTCAAGAGTACGTAGAGAAGTTTTGCATTCGAGATGCATGCTCTAGTTCAAGGGTGATAGAGTCGTGAAAGGTAGTTTATATGCAGCCACAAGATTTGAGAACAAATCTTTTTGAGGAGGGAGGGAATGATGCAACCCGGATCACCTCACATGACATCCCTCGAGTTTGAAAAAAATATAATGATCGTGGTCCAAAATGAAAGTTGTAGAGGTTCTAGAAGACAAAGAGAAGAGTCTAATTTTCCAAGAGATGACCAACGCAGAAGCTAGAGTTGTTCGAGGGTCGAAGCATGGTCGTAGACCAAGTTGGGAGGAAGGACCCAAAAACCCGGCCAGAAGAGGGCAATCCCTGACCGGGGATTGACGGTGCCTGGCGGGTAATCACGTCGAGATGACCCCTCGGTCGTGGAGCATAAAAACCCCATCTGGTATTTTAGAGGCAAGGGCGGGGGTCGGGGATGTTTTCTGTTGAAGTGTTGTTATTTTGGTATTTGTGTATTCGACGAGTTAAGTAGTGTTTAAGAGTCATTTTTAGTTCTTTTTAGGGTTATTTTGTGACTCCTAAAAAAGAGAAGAGTCTTATTGTATGAATGATTCAGCCAAGTTATTTATCAAAGAAATCAACAGATTTTTTAGTTCAAGTTTGAACTGTTGTGCAAACTCTCCATCGAGGATTCCAGAGGATTTACGAGGCTCTTATCCACCAGACGATCACATATGTTCATAGAGAGCGATGAATATACCGATTGGCCTTTCCCACAGGTTCGGGATCATTTGATCAGTTTCCGCCTTATCTTTACTTTTCTGCGTTCTTGAAAATTTTCTAGAAAACCCCAAAATTGGAGTGTTGTGCATTCTTATTGTTGAGCGAGTTCGAATCTCTTGTACCTGGTTCATATCATACACATCCATAGATGGACAGGGCATCCCTTGGGAAACCTCTTTCACCATCGCCCTTTGGACCATTTGGAAGAACCATAATGATGGGGTTTTAAGCGATGAAAGTGAGGCCCTCTTTCTAGCTTCTCTCCATCACGCTATTTGTCTAAAAATCCAAATCTGGCACTCGGCGTGATAAACTCCCTCCTCCATTTTTTGAGGACACAACACACAGAATACCTGGCTGACAGTGGATTTAGGTAGGACACTCCTCCTTTGGGTTGGAGGCTTAAGGAGTCTTTCGAGATGCTCAGAGAAAATGGGTTGGCGGTTTCTGCTATAATATTGGGGTGTGTACGGCAACTCAAGCATAATTGTGGGCATTCAAGCAAGGATTGGACATTGCTTGGAGGAACGATTTTCAGACTTCTTATTGTGGAATCAGACTCTCAATTGGCTATCAAACTCATTTGACATAGATTAGATGAGCTTCACCCTTATGCAGATCTTCTCAACTCTATAAGGCTCTTACTGGCCCAAGGTTGGTTGGTCAACATATTCCATACATACCGAGAGGCAAATAGAGTTGTGGGGTGGCTCTCAAAGCACAATTTCATCAATCCCTATCACATGTATGAATTGATTGACCAGCCTTCTCAGTTAGTATAGATTCTCAACGGCAAATGAACTGGGGAATCTCCTTCCCACGGAGCATCATCGATCAGTCCCCTCCCATGGATCCTGTGTACTTCCCCTACCACATGTATTATGCTTTCTCGGCTCTTATGCCTCCTTTATCAATAAAAACTAGTTTAAAAGAAGAGCCATTAATATTAGTGGACATTTCAATGCACCAACACACTTTCTATTACAGTCTAGTTTGTCATTATTGTTTGTAGTTAGATTACATGAAAAAATAAAATAAACGCATTTAGAGCGAGGGGAAATGTGTAAACCAAAATATAAAAGATGTATCTTTAAATTACATTATCGTTCTTCTCTATGTTAGACTAAATAAGTCTATGAGATTCTAAAAATTCTAAAAATGGGGTTTAATTTTTCTTAAAAAAGGAAAATAGAATACTTACATTACATGATTGGTTCAGAAAGATGTTAAGGATTGCAAAAATAAAAAGAAAAACAAGAGAGGACAATGAGCTTCATCAAAATAATACAAAATGAGATGAAATTTTATCTAATCCAACTATAGCTTGCATGGACTAACTTCCTCTATGCATATCTTGTTAACATCCAAATATACAATACAACAACAAAAGATTAAACACAACACAAAGGCATTGTGCCGTAAGCCACAACAACAACCTCCCAAAATCGAGTATTTTTTTAATTAATCTCTTTTAGTATGGAGGTTAATCTTTTCTCGCGTTTTAACTTCTTTTATGTGGTGTGTGAAAGCTCATGATAATATATTGAAACAAAGGGCCAAAGCTTCTTTGCATTTTCCTCCTCATTTAATTTGGTTCCTTTCTTAATTAACTAAACAATCCATATTTAACTTGTGCTCCAATGTCATCAATCCACTCTTCTCCTTGTATGAAAGGCGTCACTGTGAACTTCATTGCCTCATCTCGATCAATGACATGGAATCCATCCCACTTAACTCGGCCGTTTGTTTTTGATCCTGGTCCTTTATTGCCAAACTCTGCATAGTACAATGTTTTCAGCCCTTTATCTCCATCCCAAGCCAACCATCCTTCTGGTTGAATCACGTCCTCGATCGTTGATTCCATTACCACTGTTCTAGAATAGTCCCTCCAAGGTCGCCCAAGGTAGCTCTTCGTCTTGCCCTTATCATAGTCTTTATCAGGCTCAATCCTAGAATTTTGAAGCACAAACCCTGTGCTCTGGAACTTGTCCATCCTTCCATGAGCAGTGATGGTGTTTTGTTGGTTATCCATTGGCTTTCTCAAAAGAATCAAGCAGTTCTGGAAGATTGCCGCTGCATCCCCAAATATGAAGTCCACAGTTCCAGAGATCACACAACTACGATAGAATTGGCGATGGTTCTGGGCGTAGAGTGTGTCTTGGTAACCTTCAAAGCGTGAGTTTAAGAACACTGCTTTATCTGCTTGAACCCTAATAGCCACAGCTTGGTGCTTTTCGGCCCCAGCTGTGTTCCTATATCCCATAGCTTGGCTCAAAAATCCTTTTGCTAGTACCACTACAAACATAAAAAAAAAATATTAAAAAATTATTTATATTATCAAATTATTTCTATATTATTTTTATTAATAAGATTATTTATCAAAAATGTTATTGCAAGAATTCCCTTCTTTTATTTCTTTCCATCATTGCTAAAAAATCATAGGATATAGTCTAGTTCATCTATCTTAACTTCAACCTATAAATAGAAAAATTAACTATATATTTTATTCAAATTAAAATAATATTATAATCAATATAAATAAATGTGTTCTTACCAAAAGTGGCAGTTTGGAAAGTTCGAACACCATCGACGAAATTCTTACTTCCGGTGACAATGCTCTTTTGCGACCCATCACCATAGATCGTTAGGTTCACCATCCTCTTTTCTATGGTTACGCTCTCTTCATATACTCCTGCCTTAACATATATAACGTACCTGAATATAAACATAATGTTACTATTACTTTCATGAAATATTGCATAAATTATTAGATTTTCACATTAAAATGTAACATCAGAATAAAGAAAAGCTTAACATAAAAGCGTACCTTCCATCATATTTATCAGGAATAGCTTTGATTGCATCATTAATGGTCTTGAAGTCTCCGCTACCATCTTTAGCTACAACTTTATTGGGTTTTGGCTTGTCAGTACTATCACCTTTTAGCATCCTCCTATCCTCATGAGTTAACCAACTAGGAAACTCATCTCCATTCAAAGATGATTCTTTTTCCAAAAGCCGACGGCTAGCACCTCCAGGCAATACAATGTTAAGTGCCGACAACAATGAATTGGATGTGGCTACAACGGCAAGTGAGTTACTAGTGAACTCCTTAGAAGCATTAAAGCTCTTCTCCATGTCAGTTTTTGTTGTACCGTTTGGAAACCCGTCAATACAAGTTTGTTGAAATGATAGCACAGCACTAAGCCAGTTCTTTAGCTCTGGACCAATGTCAGCCATCTTCTTAAGGTCTTCTCCGGCCATGGAAATGGAACTATTTAATTCATCATTTGCCTCTGCAATCAAATTCTTGCAGTCCTCTAATGCCCCTTGAGCCTTAGCGTCATCTAGTTTCATGTTATTGATCTTGCTCATAACGCTTTGAATCTCTGTGCTCACTGCCTGAATTGAAACCTTGATGAAGTCTTTAGGCGTAATAGAGGAGTTTTTCTTGATAGCTTCATCATATGTGGTTTGACATCTAGTTTGGTATGTGGAGGAATTGCAAACAGTTTTCACCATTTTTTGAATGTTCGCTATATCCTTTGTCCCCCTAATATCGTCGCCCCCTCCATCTTTATCGTCTCCACCTTTCTTATCGTCTCCACCTTTTTCTTTTTCATCATGCGGGGTTGCATCTGTTCCTTTTTTAGTCGCTTGATCTTCCTCAAGGTCTGAATCTCCTGCCTTGGTAGCCTTTCTGTGGTCATCAACATCCTTATTTTTTATCTCCTGCCCAACGTATGCATAAGTACATGCAACGATGAGGATAATGCAAATGATGGCAACAACAGAAGCAATGATAAGCTTCTTCCGAAACTTACGCTGCCTCTCCAACCTCCTCCTCTCTGATATTTGATCAAAATCTTGAAAAACCATCTTTTTATTTTACTTTTACTACTTTTTGGTTTGTTGTTGTTTTGGTGATCAATGAGGAGGTAGAGCACTGCAGGCTGGCTACTAGCTAGCCTCTCTGCCTTAGCTTTTGTTCTAAGGCAGAGAGAAAGGGAGAGATGATCAATAGATTGGTCGTTTTTAGGCTTGAGGAATTCTTGTGTTTAAACTTGCTTGGTACCCTAACTTTTAGGCACTTGTTTTAATTTTATAGTTTATATTTTTTTTTTGTGATTTTTGTTTCTCCTCTTTGAAATTATTCTTATTGTAATCGAGAAGGCAAAAGAGATTCGGTCAGGAGTTTTTCAAGCTCTTCTGTTCATTAGTTAGTTATTTTCCATTTTGAAGAAATGGGTGATACACATTTCTCTTCTCTTTCTAACCATATTTCCCACCCTATTTTTTTGGGTCATACCCACCTATTTTGATTTCCTTGACTGGAAATATCATGAAAGCATCTCATGTTTTCTTATGTTGTTCTTATAGTTGGGTTATTGTATACATGAGGTAATCTTTCACACCTCTTTTCATATCCTTGAGGATATTCCTAATAATGACTCTTTTGCACTTTATTACAATTAATACATTACATATAATAATGAATATCATCATATTCTTTTTAGATTCTCATTATATGTGATTTAATATTTAACATTCAATAAGTACATTTTGGACGTCTAAAATTTAACGTGTCATTTTACACATATATTGTAACTAAGTCGCAAAAAGTGCATGCAATCATAATCCAGAAAGTGGAACTAACTGGAGTCGTATTCACTAGAGTTTTTTTTTTTCTGTTGCCTTACTCAAGTATTAGTGACCTAGTGTATTACTCAAGCACTGGATGAGGCATCAGAGAGACTCCATGGTCTTCACTTGGGAATTCACCATAAGTATGATTTCTACGAAGAATCATCAGTGGAGGAGGGAGATCTCACCTTTTGATCTCAAGGAGTCAAGTCTGGCGAAAAGACTTTTAAATACGCGCTTGTTGGGAGGCAACCTAACAACTGAGTTGTGTATCTTTTCCTTTTTCTTTTTGTATAATTGCTTGAGTAGAATTTAGAATTGCATGGAGAATGATTGATATGACTTAGCCCTTGTCTTTTCTTTGGATGTTTGAATGATTTAGATGAATGATTAACCTTAAGGAATTGGTGAAAACATGTCATGATCAGGGAAAAGATTGCGGTTGACACGCTAGAGATCGCGGTCGTGATCTCGGGTTAATAGACCGCAATCTTGTCCATGCTAATTTAAAGGGAAGCTCCACATTGCATCCATGTGTAGACTCTTCATCTCATCTTTTAGATCTACAAGCCATGTTTTCCCATCTCTCTTAGCTTGTTGAGCATACTTTCTCTAATTTCACTTTCCCTCATATTTTTAGAAGAATTTTTAATTGCTTTTGGATTCTCAACATGTCTCCTAGCAAGATAAGCTACACTTTCCCATTTCCTCATATTTTGACCACCTTATTTTGCTCGACATGTGTTGAATGCCTTGAGATCTTGAAATGCTCATCTTCATCTTGACTTGCCTATTTGATGCACTAGGATTGTTCTCTTTGCTTTAATGGTCATGTTATGCATTTTGGGAGACCTTCGTGGGCCATTTCCATCACTTCTTTAGTTCTTAAAGACCACCCACCAAGTGTTCGTAGAAAGTCCCAACTTCACAATTTTCTTTTTCTACAATCCTATTCATTGAGCATCAACTTCTTTGCATGGGTTATCGCTTATTTGCTCAATTTTGCATTGATTTGGGAGATCCTATTATTCATTGCCTTACAACTCCATCCCTATCTAAGTCCCCTATCTTACCCAAGCCTTATGCTCACTCAAGTGTGGGGGGTGGGGACTTAGAGACTTGAGGTTAGTTCATTGAAAATTATCCTTATGATAAGTTATGATTGGATTGATGGTTTGCGCATTGTGTACTACTTGTTTTGAACGATAATATACTAGAATAATGGAATGGCTCGTGGTGAGAGTTCCTCTTCTTGTACCTCTCATCATCGACAAGGCCATCGAAAGAAGAAGAGAAAATAATGTTCAAAAGAATTAGTTGTTGAAGAACCACATCCCCCATCACTTCTTCCATGTCTACCGAGGGAAATTCTCCAAGATAATCAAGTCAATGTCGGAGGCGGCATAGAGCACATCACTCACTACTTCTTGGATCATGTCTGCGAGTAATTTAAGACCAAAATTCTGTGGCTTCAAGGACTTCCTCTAGGCAAAAGTACATGTCTCAACTTGATACTCTTCGCACAACTTGCGGTCGAGGATACAATCTGATCCAAGATTCATAAGTTGGAATGGCTTAAATTACTATCGATTTAAGAAAACATTTATCGGGTACTTGTTCTGAAATGAGAGTTGTTGTCGACCTTGAAGACAACATCCAATACCAAATAGGAGGAGAGCATCAACAACTGTCCATCCAGGAATATAAAAGAGCCATGGATATTTACACGACGGATTTCATCGATTCATCGGATGCTTTTGCTACCTTCACAAGGGAATCCGACTACCCATATTTCACGTCCTTCTATGAATCCAAAGTCAAGAGATCCGACACTCGACTTTGGGATGTTAAGATATCAAAATTTGGTGAGGTGAAACCAGAGTGGTGGCTCATCCACCACGTGATTGCTAGGTTTGTGGGTAAAAAGAACTGGAGAAAAAGCAATTTGACTGCCCGAGACGTCACCTTCTTTCATAGTATGCAACTACCTCGATCTCTTCATCTTGGTTTGTCTATCTTGTCTATCTTCAAGCCGTATGAAGAGGACCATTGACTTGCCGCCCTTCATGGAGGAGTTTCTGTCACTCATATAGCCAAGTATTTCCAAGTCGACTTCGGGACCGTGCAATTTTGGTTGGATAGTAGGACCGCTCCTATATCATTTGAAGCTTTGAAGTCGAAAATCAAAGTTCTACATATGAATGCCGATGGCATTTGGGGAGTACAAGGACTTCCGTTTCCAACCACTAACATGTTCGACATGGAGGGTACCGTGTTCCGTCTTCCAAAAGCTAAGGTGGCAAGAGAATGAAGAGGACTAGTCAACGAGGAAGATCAAGTCAAGAGCATATACGAGGGAGGAGAGACGCCTCTACCCACTTGTCAACTGGTTCCCTCACCACTCAATAATGCAAGGGACTACTAGTTGAAGTAATGATAGCGGCGATCCTTCACAATCAAAAAAGGGAGAAGGAAGCGCGGCTCCACATCATGGTATGCATCCATGTTATTATGAAGAAGATGGATATTCCAATTGACAGTGTAATGCTCTAACTTGTTCGCTCCACTCCCCTTGCACCACTTCAAGAAGAAGAAGGACCCTTCGAGGAGGATTGAGTACTGGGAATTAAGGGCCTAAGTTCTATCATTTCTTTTTCTTTGCTTTTCTTTTCTTTTAATTAAACCAATGTTTAATTATTGCTTTATTTTCATTTTACTTTTCGTGAGCTCTTATTCACGAAGTTTGGGTCACAACCTAGAGAAGGGATTGGCTGACCTCGAATCAACTCCGAAGACCATGTTCCATGAGCTTGAAGTTGGACTGAAGAGTTGTTTCCTGGATAGTTGCTTGGAAGAGAAGAAAGTTAATTGAGTTACAAGTTTTCGTGTTTACATGTTTCCTTTCCTTGTTTTGTTTGTAATTCGTTTCAAGGTTCAATTAGGATTGTATTAGGGTTATCCTTGGCTATAAATAGTCTTTCTCATTAGTGTTAAGGCACGTTGAGTTTTAATCAAAAATTACTCTGAGGAGTTCTCCCAAGCTTGTGAGCTAGGTTGTTCTTGGTTTTTGGCCAAGGATTGCAGATCAATCAAGCCAAGTTATCACCTTGGTTGATTAGCGATTCTAACCACGTGAGCCTCATTCCCTTTCGTGTTGAGGTTGTTGACTTGGTTCCTTTACCTTCCATCGAATCCAATCCTCTGTTTTACTACGAAACCACCACATCCACAATCCCTTTGTTCCAAGCTGCGTGATTCTGATTAGAGTCCCAATCAAGGGCCTCATCAGAAATGGGATGAGGGATTAGTTGATTTGTGGTGCATGAATGTTGAATGTGGTTTGTATGACCTTAATTGAGCCTCGGTGTGCATAGTTTAGGAAATATTCCTTTCAAATGTGAAATTTGCCCACCAAGTGCAAAAAAATTATCGATGCCAAGGACTCCTTCCAGATGATGAGCTAGGACCTTCGACCCATGATGAGGTAGCCGACGAGTGAGACATGCGGCAGAGCCGATTCCTTTTGTCCTACTTCTCCACTTGGAACTCTGAACTATGTTATCTTTTGTTTTTCCTTCTATTATTCGGTGTGTGTGTGTGTGAACAACTACTACTATTGTATAGTTATGTGTAATAACCTCGCCTCGCCTCGAACGAGTATGTGTTTGTGTTTTTTTTTTTTTTTTGCTTTTGTCTTCTCCTTGAAGCTCCAATGTAACATCCCGTTACGGCAAAACCCATATTTCGATCGCTAGAAAATTTCACGATTTAAAATCGAGCATTTCGACACTATTTCGACGAAAATTGGATTATCGATCGATCGGATAAGTATGCGTATTAATTATATATATAATATAATATTATATATATAAATATATATATATATATATAATATTACATTAAGCGGCCACATATATAAACCCTTCCCCTTCATTCTTCCGCATCCATTTCTTCTTCTTCTTCCATTTCCGGCCGAGAGAAAACAGAGAAGCAGAGGCAGCTCGGCTAGAAGTTTCAAAGCTCAATTCTTGAGCTCTGCTGATCCAAAAATCCCATAAGTAATGCCTAATTCATCTATACATCGTGATTTATCGATTTAGAGCTTTAAAACGCGTTTTTGGTTCAGGAATTTCTTGAATTCCCGATAAGCCAAATTAGGGTTTCGGAGTATCCGGAAGCCGGATTGAGCCCAAATTTCATATACGAGCTTACTGTAGCAAGGTAATCAATCCTCTAGTTCTAATCCCTGAATTTCGGAAATTATTTAGGTCGGGGTGCAAACCGCTGAATTTAGCTCCGGCTAGGGTTTGATGTGTTTTTATCGAGAATTTGACCCGGAGCCTAGAACTAATATCGACGGGGATACTGCAGGGGATATTAGGACGGTCTCGGATTTTAATTCGGGGTTCGTTCGTGAAATTGACGT